ACTGTGGAGGTCAAAAAAGAAGCCCTTTGCCATTGCTGATGTGGCTCAGTGGATTGAGTGCTTAGATGCAAAGCAAAGGGTCCCCGGTTCAATTCCCAGTCAGGGCACATGCCCGCGTTGCGGGCCAGGATCCCAGCAGGGGGCCCACGAGAGGCAACCACATATTGATGTTTCTCCCCCTCTCTTTGTCCTTCCCTTCCCCTCTCTCAAAATAAATAAATAAAAATTTTTTTTTAAAAAAAGGAGAAGAAGCCCTTTTAGGGATGTCCACTCAAGAGTCTTGGGGCCACCACCTGGTGCCAGCAGGAGCCTATCTGTCCTCTCAGCCACCCCTCCAGCTCTCACTGACCTCCCCAGCTCTTCTCTGGCAGGGACAGATGCCCTTGGCCATGACGCACCCCCAGCTGCTGTCTGCTCAGGCCTGGCCTGTGTGACAGAGCCATCGCTGCCCCAGCTGCCTCACGTAAGTGTGAGGCGCAGGCCAACCCCTCTCCCCGCAAAAGAAGGTGAGGGGTGTGGGTGGGGAGGGAACTCCAGAGAGTCCTGGTCACAGAGGGCAGGCCCTGGGAGTGTTTAGCTGGCAACAGTTTTGTCCTCTTCGGCGGTCATCAGTCCCTGAGTTGGCCACCACTGAGTGCATTCTGTCCAGATCTGCTAGGCCCTGGGGGACACATGGGGCCTCTTTCTCCTGCCCTCGGGGAGCTAATCAGGAGGAGGCTGGTAGGATGGAAACTCCACGGTGCCAGCCTTGGGTCCTAACTCAGACTCTTGCTGTATATGACCAGGCAAGTCACTTAATAGTCTGATTTCCCCCTATGGGTGGGGTTTTTGTACAGTTCAAAGAAGGTGTTAGTTCTCTTTTGCTACATAACAAATTACCACAAACTGAGCAGCTTAAAAGAGCACACACTTAAAACAGGACACCAGGCTCAGCCAGCAGGTCCAGTGCTGCAGGGCCTGACTTCAAGCTGCATTCAGGATGTCCCCTGGGGTCACGTTTTCATTTGAAAGCTCCATGGGGGAAGAATCCAGGCCCACTCTCACCTGATTGTTCAGTTCCTTTTGGGCCATTGGATTGAGGGCCTCCACTCCTGCTGTCCAGTGGACTGAAGGACAGAGGCCACCTTCTGTTCCTTGTCACATGAGCCTCCCCAACATGGCAACTTGCTGCATCAAGACCACCAAGGGAGAAAGTCAGCCAGCACGAGAGAAGCCAGACCCTTATATAACCTGTTCACAGCAGCAACACACCCTTGCCTTTGCTGTGGTCTGCTGGGTGGGAGCAGGTCCCAGGTCACATCTGGCCTCGAGGGGAGGGGAGTACACAGGTGTGACTGCCAGGGCGCAGAGCTCTTTGGGGACTATCTTAGAGCCTGCCGGTCATAGGAGGGGATACAAATGAAAGCAGATTGTAAACTGGAGACTGCCGATTACGGGCACTGAGTTACTGTTATCATTTGCATCTCGTTGCAATAAGGAAACGCGCCTACCTGAGGTAATAGAGAGGATGTGGGGATTTCAAGGCTAAATTGCGCCCTTAGCTCCGGGCCCTCGGGGACACGGCTGGGGCCTGGCCAGCTCGCTGCAGTCCTCTCCACGCACGCCTTCTTGGCGCATGGTTTTAAGGCCAGCCTTAAGCAGCCACAAAATGTCTGGGTCTTCCTTTTCCCTCAAATAACCATGTTTGAAGGATTTTTTAGTTTACAGGTGGCCCTTGCATACCTGAATCTCAGGTTTTGCTCACAGCACACCTGTAAACTGAATTTATGGTTCATCTTTCATTTACAAGTGAGAAAGGTGGTCAGTCTCCAAGCTCAGGTAACTGGTAAGCGGTACGTTGGGCCTCCAATGGGCCTTCAGTCCCGTGACCACCTGTGCTGCCCTGCCTCACTCCCCCGTCACCCCTACCCGCCCCCCTCCACCGTTTCCAGGCTATTTCTGCTCTACAGCCTCCAAGGTACTGAAGGACAGGAGGCCGGGCATGGAGGGCAGAAAGAGGGAGAGCACTGTTCTCATCCGGCTTCCTAACTCCCTGTCTCCTAAACTGGCTGGGCACACCCCAGGGGACTAGGCTGGGACTCTCAGCAGAGTAGGTGCTCCCTGCTGCCTCCCCAGCTTCCGGTCACTCCATGGGCCTCTCGTTGGCGAGCAGGGGAAGGTGGAGTGCTGTTTTAGTGAAGGTGCATAAATCCTCCCGAGGCTGGCTTCATCCCACACCAGATGTTCAGTGAACCCCTGAACCATGGCTCACCACGTTCACGGGCAAAGTCTGGTCCTGAATGACCGCGCTCAAGTCTGCCCAGAGGCCATGAGCAGAGAGATGCAACTTGCTGCCCCCTGGTGCTGGATCAGAGTCATAACCTCCAGGCCCATAGAAGAAATAGTGTACCCGGAGATGATCGCCAAACTTTATTTACAAGGTACCCACTGTGTGCCAGGCATTGTGTGTAATGCAGCAGAGAGATAAGTATAAAACAAAGCTCCTGATCCCAGAGGACACATCATTTCTTGGAGGAGTCAAGATGTTCGCACACGAGCGTTGACAAGTGCCCTCCCAAGTCAGGGTTGGGTAAGTGGCACATGGGTAGGCATTGCTGGAGGAGTAGAGAAAGAGAGGGGGGTGGGGAGAGAGAGACGCTCCTGAAAGCCCTTCCGGAGCCCCAATCATCTCCAAGAGAGTTAAACCCCTTGCCCAGCGTCCACCCCCTGCCTTGCGCCTCCCCCTCCCTGTCCGGGCCTCCCAGATCTTTACGGGCCCTGGAACCCCGTGTCCCTCCACACTCCTGCCCTCCCCACCATGTCTACTGGGTGAGCTCCTACTCAGCTTTTAGGATTCTGCTCCAACATAGCATCCTCCTTGGCCTGTGCGTCTCTGGTTATGTGTGTCTCGCACCAGATCACAAGGTGTGTTAAGTGTCCTTTCATTACGAGGCTGTAAGTTTCTTAAGGATGCAGCCTGCCTGAGGGGCAGAGGGTTCATGGGGGGTGGGCAACGGAGGGTGAGGAGGGGAAGCGTGAACTGGTGGTGAGCACGCAGGGAAGTGGGGCAGGGCAAAGCATTGGAGTGTGGTCCACGGGTTCAACATGCCCTGCAGACCATGTGGTGCGGGGCAGGCTCTGGAGAAATACAGGGGCCCTGGGGCCAGAGCAGAGGCCAAACGGTGGGTAGGGGTGGTGCTCAGAGGCAAACCTGCAAGATCGATTAGGAAGACATTGCACCGGGACGGGCGTGACATGCAAAGGGGCTTCCCTGACATGGAGACGAGGAGACTCGGGGGAGCCAAAGAAGGAGGGTGTGAACATCTGGGCAACTAGGGGAACATCCTGTGGCCTTGTCAAACTCTACGCTGCGAACTAATCATCTGGGACCTTGTTAAAATGCAGATTCTGACTCCTCAGGCCTGCTGTGGGGCCCAAGGTGCTGCCTTTCTAACCCGCCCTGGGTGCTGCCCGAGCTGTGGTCCGAAGCTGGCTCTGGGAGCAGGCAAGTGACACAGGAGCGGGGTCGGGCGCGCGCTGTGCTCCAGGAGCACACGGTGAGGAGCAGGTGGTGTCTTTGGGTGAAGAAAAAGGTGCCCCGCTGCCAGGTGAACACAGCAGGGTGCGTGGCTCTGAGCAGAGTGCAGCCTGTGGTCCTGTGCCCACTCACCCTTTGAACCTGTAAAATCTGCAAAAGCCTTCAGAGCAGCTCGGGTGGAACCACCAACAGACAGAGGTCGGAAGTGGGGGAGCCCGTGTGGAGAGCGGGTGGTGACTTCGCCTGAGTTTGAGCTGCCTGTGGACATCCGAGGGAAATGTCTGTCCACTGGCAGCTGGAGACAGAGCTGGAGCCCCAGCGTGGGGACTTGGAGGCTTGTTGCTGCTGAAGCACACAGTGAGGGAAGCTCGGTGGGGCAAGATGGAGCCCAGGGACCAATCTGACACGCAGGGACTTTCTCCCGGGTAACCCTCCTCTCTCAACATCTCCGCTCCATTTGTTGTCTTGCAGGTCTCCACTCCCCTACTGAATGTAAGTGTTCACAGCCTTTCTTCCACCCTCAAGATGCGAAGCTCCTCCCACCCCCCCGCCGTGTTGGCACAACCATCCCTGGTCCCCATGAGCCTGGGACACTGAGAGGTCCCATTCAGTGGCCTGCAAGAGGAGTCAGCCGGAGGCCAGACAGCCTTGCACTCAGAGCCGCCCTCTGTTCCATGAGCCCATGTTAGTCAGGACATGTCTCCCCGGACTCGCCATAACCTTCCCGGAGTCAGAATGCCACCTCCCTGCCTCCCCTGGGCTGGCCCTCGTTTTCCACAAGAGTTGGAAAGACAGGGGAGAACCCCTACCTCCACCCACCCATCCCCCAAGGACTGGGCGTTTGAGCCAGGGCAGAATTAGGCAGAACTTTTGAGGTTCAAACCCTGTCCCCTCCACCTGGGTCAAGGTCAGTGACCCTGGTATTTGTACCACAGAGGGCAGCGATCGAGGGCAGGGCGTTGGGGTGAACCAGGCTGGGTAGGGTCTCAGCCAAATCAATCAGAGGCTCCCCCAGCACGCGTGAAACAGGGATGACTAAGAACCGGCCCAGTGGTTATCTGGAGGACTGACTGAGATGCCCCAGGCGTGCTTAGGGCACTGCCTCACACAGACTAAGCCCTCTGTAAACAGAGGCCATCTTTCTTTGTGTCTTGGAACCTTAGGGGAGGGGGTATAGTTTAAACAGGGAGTAAGGAGAGGGGACAGGAGAGGGAGAAGAGCATTAAAGGAGAAAGACAGCAAGAGACTTTGAAACTGGGTAGAAACAGGAAGCAGAGTGACGCCTTTGGTTGGCATCCTGCCTCCTCTCTGTCCTCTCTGCCGGGAGCCCCTGCAGGAGGCTGGCCCTGGCCACAGCCAGCCCCTGGTGTCCTGGGGCCGGGACCCTCCCTGCATCCAGCTGGGTGGAAAGTTCCAGGAGGGCTCCCAGCCCCCGCCCCGTGCCCACGCGTCTCTCTGCAGAGTTGGATGGGGCATCGGGCGGATGACAGCGGGAACGGTTGTGATCACGGGCGGAATCCTAGCTGCGGTCATCCTCCTCTGCATCATCGCGGTCCTGTGCTACTGTAGGCTCCAGGTCAGTCCCCGCGCCGCAGCCAGGAGCCCCAGCAAACCACTTCCCCTTTGTGGGGACAGACATGGCAGGCCCCTCTCGGGTGACAAAGCCCGAAGCCATGGAATGGGGGAGGTTTCGGTCAAGGGGGCTGGGGCGTGGCGGGGGGGGGCGGTCAAAAGGGAGCACTGTAGGTCCCACACGCACACTTTGGGGCTCCCAGTGAGAGCCACTGTGCTGTGTCCCCGGCAAGGCTGAGATTTAAGGGGTGCTGGGCGATTCTAAAAGCTGCTCCCTGCTGCCCTCTTCCCCCACTGCCCAGTATGATTGCCTGCCCCTCCCTCCCTGCCTCCCGGCCCCTCCCAGCTGCGCTGAGTGAGGACACTGGAAGCAGGGGAAGGGGAAGGGAAAGCCTTGCAAGGCTGGGAATCTGCTGACGGAACGTGGCCTCTGGTATTGAGTCCAGTCAACAGAGGAGCGGGGTGAGGGTGCCATGCCACTCAAAGGGGGCCCTCCATGCTCTGCCCCCAGTATTACTGCTGCAAGAGGAGCAGAGAGGAGGATGCCGAGGAGGAGGAGGAGGACCACGACCGACCCATACCCCCCGGAGTCCCCCCCTGCAATGCCTGCAGCTCCCAAGCCCTGGACGGCAGAGGCAGCCTGGCGCCTCTCACCAGCGAGCCCTGCGGCCAGCCGTGCGGGGTGGCGGCCCGCCACTGTGCCACCTGCTCCCCATACAGCTCCCCCTTTTACATACGGACGGCCGACATGGTGCCCAACGGGGGCGGAGGCGAGAGGCTGTCCTTTGCTCCCACGTACTACAAGGAGGGGGGCCCCTCATCCCTCCAACTGGCAGCCCCCCAGAGTTACCCGGTGACATGGCCAGGCTCTGGGCGTGAGGCCTTCACCAATCCAAGGGCTATTAGTACAGACGTGTGACCCTCTCGCCCCGACCCCCACACGCACCGGCACAGACACCCCAGCGGAAGGACTGGGGCCAGCGGCGACCCCTCCAGCACACCACAAGGACTGTCTCCATGACCTTGGCTTCCCTTGCCCTGCACGGGAAGGGTCACCAGGATTGAAGCTGTCGTGTGCATTGAGAAGGAGGGCAGGCCTGGTCCCCCGGCCCAAGGGTGGAGCCCAGCAGGTCCTGTCGGCAGCTTTGCCGGTCTCTCCGTTGGGATGTTGTTCCGGCAACCCCTGCACCCTGGGTCTCTCTCACCCCGCTCACTGCCCGGCTTTGCCAGACTGTGAGAAGAGGGAAAGCCATGCAGGGGTCCGGAGGCCTCCAGAGTCCTTGGGGCGTGAAGAAGGGGGACGCAGGGCTGGGGGCCCGGGGACAGCTAGGGTACCGCAGCCCTGGAGACGGAAGAGGGGAGTGTTAAGAGACCTCTTCAGGACTCGCTTGCTAAAGTGAATCCAAAAGCCAATTCACCATCTAGTTTTGTATTTTGGGGTTGTCATAGAGACCGCAGAGCCCATTGCTGCTCAACACAGATGTTGACTCCTGAGCCCATCACAGCTCTGCGCCCTTCCTTTGTGGAATGCAATGAGCTGGCGTTAAAAGCATAAAGTGATTGCAGGGAATGCACCAAAAAGCGACTGCCTAACCTTGGCTCCCCGAACCCTTGCTTGGCTACGGGAACCAGCTGCCAAGCTGAGGACCTTTTTCGAGTCACGTTACTAGGGTTCGAGTAGCGTCATGAGTGAGGGCCCGCCGGCGGGCTCTTGGGGCCGTGGTCCCCCGCACCGAGCAGCGTGTGTGGCTGCAGGCCTGTGAGGACATGTGCACTCTCAGGTGTGTGTGCGTGCACCTGTCCCCACCGCACACGGGCTTCTCTGCCTTCGGGGGCTGCAGAATGGAGGGTCTCAGACGTTGCAGCTGGAAAGAACAATCTGACTGCCAGGCAACAGGAGGAAAAGGCGACTTAGGTGGCTGATCCCCACAGCAATCAGGCGGCTGGTACAGGATGAGGCTGCCACGTAGGCCCCTGTGGAGCGTTCTGCTCAGGCACCCAGCCGTGACATGGGAGAGCCAGACCACCCCTCGCACCAGGGACAGCCGCCCTCACTCCTGAGGACTAGAGGGAGCTGCCTGAGCAATTGGATTCTGCTTGCTGTGCTCCCTCCATCCCCCCGCCCCTGTCTCCCGGTAAGGGCCTGTTCACCGCTGTCTCTCCCCAGCCCCCAGGCCGACTCCCACTCCCCGCTGATAACTCAGCCGTGGCCGTTTGAGTGAATGCATCCGATGAGTTTTCCAGTGGCCGTTTGAGTGAATGCATCCGATGAGTTTTCCAGTGCTGCAGTAAGCGAGGGCTGCATCCCCTCTTAGAGGCATAACTAACTTCACCGCTACCACCACTGACTCCTGAGTCACTGAACGCTGCAGAGGGTGGGGCAGATTAGGAGCCAGCCCCTCTGCTGAACTCCTGATTTCGCGTTTGAGGAAGCTCCGGGCAGTTGGGCAGGGGAATCCACCACACCTTTGCACGCTCTGTTCAGGTTCCTGTCACCTGGCAGCCCAGTCTGTAATTAAAGCTCACTGGGTTGAGACTCAAAGGACCTCGGTCTGGTCTCACTTTGGTCACTCATGAGCTCTCAGACCAGTCACTTACCTTCCCTGAGAACCCATTTTCTCCAGGGAACTGCGAGCTGGCCCGATGGACTCCGAGGGCCCGCGCGTGCTGCACGAAGCCTGGGCTTTGCGGCCCGGTCTGCCAGGCCCTGCTCTCGCTACCCGCCTGATCCTGTGTGCAGGCATGTGTGCCGCGGGATGAAGGACCACAAACACAGGACTGGCAGGCAAAGCCATCTTAATCGTCCGTGAAAAGCACACGTTAGTCTGACTCTCCTGTGAGTGACCTCAAACAGTAACATTTCTCTTACACCAGGAGCCAGCTCTAGGGGGGTGTAACGAGACCTGTCTCCGAGTCCAGAGGGACCAGCTAAGGACAGCAGCTTTAACGCCCCTGCCACCACCCGCCCTGACTGGGCCAAGTGCACCCCCTTGATGTGAGTTGCTGGGCTGGCAGCCCTCGCCGCTCCCTGCCGCCCAGCCGGTGCCTTGCTGCTCTGGAATTCCACAGCCAACCAACCCCAGCAAGGGCTGCCCCCTCCCCCGCAAAACGACAGTGTCATTGTACCTCTTGCCTTTGCAGAAATCAAGACAACCTGGTCAAGCCACCCGCTTCTTACCCCTGATCTTTTGGGGGTCCCCACGTGAAAAGCATCTTGTGCAGCCCTGTCTCCTTAGCTTTCCCAGCCTACATCCTGTCACCCCACAAATGAAAGTCTGGCTGGGCCGCTGGAGAGACGTGGGCCCCGGCTCCCCCACACTCAGCCCCACGTCATTGCTCGGGGCCCGGACTCAAGATCATCCCCCACCTCCCTGGAGCTGCGAGGGCCTCGCCTGTGCAAGAGGAAGCTCAACCCACTCAACAGCACCGTACTTTCTAGCCATGGGACAGTGTTTGGGCACTTTCCAAACTGTCCCCAAAAAAGGAAGAGGAGAGGCTGGGAACAGCCTGTCCGCCCGCCGGCCTGTCTCCACCGGCCCTTCCCGGCTCCTGCGCAGACTTCTCCTGCGTCTTTGATAACTAGGACTCACAACCAAGTCAATGTCAATAAATGAGGAGTTTGAAATAGAAATCCCACGGGGTCCTCCGTTCTTCACCTGGGGAGGGGCAGCCTGGCACAGACATAAGCGGGAATGCTCTTTTTCCTCACCCAGAATATCCATTTTCAACACCAAAGTTGTCTACCAGCCTCCCCTCCCCTCCTGCGTCCACACCAACCTATATCCTCTGCCTTGTCGCCTGCTGTCCTCCCCACCCCCGGTCCCCACTGCCTCAGTCTGAGCGCCCAGGGAGGGTGTGCTGTTTGTGGGAAAGGGCTCCCTGAGGTCGCAGGGGCCCTGCCCACGATGGGGCGCCTCACCGGAGAGCAACCCAAGCATCAGCCCCTCCCTGCCCCCACCCTGCCCTCACTGTCCAGGCCTGTGGTGTCCCCACCTGTAGCTCTGCGCTCAATCACCCAGTCTGAGGAGACCCAGGGTGTCACATGGCCAGCCCCTGCCTGTCGGGAAGGGAGGGAAGAGACTTTGGGGACCAGATCCTCAGCCCTGACCCTGGCAGAGACCACAGAAGCAGGAGCAGAGCAGCGGGAGGACCAGGAACCAGGAAACAGCTGTGTGTGGGAGGGGGGAGGGGAGGCGGAGGGGCAGCGTGGGTCTGTGGGGGGCCTGGAGGGTGCATGAGGGAGAGGGGGACGCTCTCTCCCTGCCTCAGGGCCACCTGGAGCCCTGACTGTGGCTGGCGGGGCAGCTGGCGGCCTTTCCTTGGCAGTGCAGCACCCCTCTCTGCGGGAGACCGCCCCCCACAGTTACAGGTGAGCTACTTCCCCAGGAAGTCCTTTCCAAGGGCGGCTGGTCCTTTCCAAGGGCGGCTGGTCCCTGGGGAGGACTCGCCCAGCCTCACGGGGAGCGCTTGGCCCCACCCTTCCTGTCTGTCCTGTCATCAACCTTCCCGGCCCCCAACCCCCCATCTACACCCCTCCACCAGCAAGGAGCCCCCACCACGGCTAGGAGCTGGGGGTAGGCGACGCAGCCCTCCCCCCTGGCCCACCAGCTCCCAGGCCTGCTCCACCCACTGGGCAGGACACTGTCGGTCTTCACAGGCGGCAGCGCCCAGAGGCTTGGTGGCTGGCTCACGCTGGGCATGGGAGGTCGCCCTCCCTCCGGGTCTCCTCAGAAGATCACAGCTCATCGGCTCCGACCACAGACCCCCAGTCCCCAGGAGGAACACGGGGCTCCAGTGCTGGCCTGCAGGTACAAGTCAGGTGCTGGCTCCACCCCAACCCACTCGACACCAGTGGATCCTCCTGGGCCGAGCTTTGCCTTGGGCCGGAGGTGTCCTACCGCTGGGAATCACATCCTTATTCCTAACGAAGTGCCACTCCCCCGGCAGGGTGTGTGGTCTGGGTCTAATGAAACGTCCTAAAATGAGAGCAGAGGTCTGACCCTCCTGACAACATCCTCTGAATTCTCTCTCCAAACATCAAGGCCCCAGCCAAAGGGGTCCAGAGGGACCAGGGGACTCTAAACCGCAGGAGGGTCTCACAGCCCCTCACCCTTGTCTCCCTCCCCCACCCAGTCCCCAGGACCCCACCTGACAGGGAGTCATGAGCTGGTGACAGTGAATGAGGAGGAACCTAAAGGAGAAAAATGAAGTGAGAATTTTAATTGAGGGGAAAACTGGTCATAAAAAATGTGCCTGAGATAGGCATTGGAAGGGCACATAAAAAACAAACAAAAATGTGTTCCTCTTGGGAGGACATGGGCAATCGTGCGATGGAGCAGAACCCAAGCTTTTCAATGTCTGCCTTGTTAGGTTGTTTTGAGTTTTGTGACTCTCCATTCCCAAAAGGTATTTTTTCTGAGTTAAATTACATCATACTGTGCCTGAGGATAGGGTGCATTCCAGAAGGTCCCATGAGGCCCACATGTGCACCCGGGGGCAGAGCCCTGGGGGAACACCTGCAGAGGCCTCTGCTTCGACCCTTAACTGCAGGAGGTGCCCCGTTGTTGGAGAGCGGCCGCCTGGGCACATCGTCACCCCCTAACACGCTGCCACATTTGAGTCCTTGCAGCTCTGAGGCTGGGACGCGGCAGCCAGAGAGGGCGCCTCCTGGGGGACTCTCCACAGGCACAGGGTCCTCTGGGACACAGGCGTGGAGCAATTTTCTCCCCCTGAGGCAGAAGACTAGGGGAAAGACGGTGCCAGCCAACATAGGTTCATAGTCTATACATTTTTTAAAATAATTACTTTGTCGCGGTAAAATATATCTAACATAAAATTTACCATCTTCACCACTTTGCGTTCGCATTACACTCCCATTGTCGTGCGGCCATCACTGCACTCTGTTTCCAAAGCTTTTTCATCGCCCCAAACAGAAACTCTCAACACTTACGTCTGGATTATTTTTAACAGCTATATTTTAGTTTTCTGTTAAAACAGTTTTAAGGGAAGCTCCTCCTGCCAGTCCTGCCCGAAGGAGGGGCCTCCCCTGTCAGGGGGCAGGGTGGTGAGCAATCTTCTCTTCCCTTCTCCCAGGACAAAATGTCTTAAGCAGAAACTGGCTTCAGGGGAACTCCAAAAATAACAGGACTGGAATGTAGCTTTGCAACCTGTTCTGAGGGAAAGGGAAGGGAAGGCCTGGGGAGGCAGTGTATTTTAAGGCGAAAAGGAAGAGGATTCGGACAGCGAGAGAATCAGCCAGCTGGGCCGTGCAAGGTTCTCCCGGCCGAGACCCCAGCGGGTCGGCGTGGGCAGCGCGGAGGCCAGGCCTCCTCCCTCCCTGGCTGGCAGCACACTCAGGTCCGACGCCCTGCCGGACAACGGCATGGACGGCCCAGGTCCCCGGCGCACACTCACGCGTCCCCAGGCGGAGGCTGCCCATTCGGGCAGCCCGGGGAGCCATCTCAGCTGCAGACCTTACTGCACTGGGTCTGCTCCGCTGAGCAGCCACCGTCCCCTCATGGTCCCCAGGCTGCCACAGTGGTGGAGCGCTGGCCACAGAGAAGGAAGGGGAAGGCGAGCCAACCAGTTGCACCCCAGGTTCTGCACAGGGACTTCAACCAAGCTGATGTTCGAACACACACGTGGTCAGTGGACCCAACCTGCAGAGTTGGAATGGAAATGCATGTGCATCAGGTATCCAGGAAGGGTCCTGCCTCTCCTCGCAAAAAAAAGAAAAAAAAAAGTTTAAAAAGAAAACAAAACAGGAATTTTCTCAATCCTGTTCATCCCACTTGGAATGACTTTTCAATTACAGCTCCGATCCCACACACCAGTCTTCACCAGCACAAAGTTTAGACGTTTTTCAAACGTTTTCTCTGATTTACTGACTTACTCCTGGGCCACCCCTGCAAGGGACCGCTCCCTCTTTCAGCCGCTCTGTGGTGTTACAGGTTAGAGCGCTGGTATTTGGGGTGTCCCTTGTCTTCCAGGGAAGACAGGCAGTCCGTGGAGGGTGGTTTTGCAGCTGCCCCGGCCCAGCGCACGCCCCCTCCCCCCCCCCACCGGCCCGCACAGTGCTCTCTGCGCAGTTTTCGGTCAGTCAGCCGGTCTACAAAGAAAGGAGGTTGCGGCCGCTCAACCCAAGGTGCGTGCTTGGAAATCCTTTGTTCCTTGTCCTTAGGCTCCTCTTATCCTTGGACTGGAGACCACTCCACTGAAAACTTGTATTTTAAGATAGGAGATCTCCTGAGAATTCCTATGTTTCTAAACTGCAAGAAAAAAAAAATCAAATTTTCAAAATTGACTTCAGATCTGGGAGAAAACTTCTATGAACTAGTCAATAGATTTGCTGTTTTTAGTTGAGTAGAGAATAGTAGGGACAGAAAGCCAGGGGAAGGTGGGAAAGGGACTGAGGTGGGTGTTCTGGTGCTGCTGCCCAGATTCTTGTTTGGTGACATTCTAAGGCAGAAACTGGTGACACCTTCTCCCACCCCCAACACACAACTGAATGACAACCACACTTAAGAGCCATTGCCCGTCAGCGCACTTCAGGTTAGGAGCAATTCCCGAGGCCCTGTTTACAACCCTACCCTCCCTCTTACCCAAAAAAGCCGTGTGAAGGGGCCCAACACCTGAGGAAAGCGCAACAAGAACAGCAGGTTCCAGGCTCAGCGTCTGCACTGCACAGCGCCCCTTAGGGCCCTGAGGCCGCCTGACCACACAGCGAACTTTGGCTCTTGAATTTGCCAGAGGAGGGCAGTTTTCTTTCCCACCATCGATGACCACTGGCCCCCCTCTATAAACTTGCTATTTTTTGGAAATACAACCAAGAATCAATCAATGGAGAAAAATTAAGATTTATTTTTGGTAAAACCAGACGATTGATTTGAATAAGGCACATCCTTCAACATGCAGCAAATGCAAAAGCAATCACAGTTGGAATGACCGGGAATGTCAAGAACGGCGACCTGAATACTGGCAAAGCCCACGGGGTTTTGCTAAATAGAAGAAAAAAATGCAATTGTGTTTGAAAGTCAAGGTGCTGCTTCTTTCTCTGATGGCTGAGATGGCAAATAGGTTTCCATCTCAGGAAATCTGATCGACTGGGAGCAGCTGCCGGTAGCTTTGTGTTGATGAGGTTGGGGCGAGGGGCAGCCTAACATCCTGCGCTGCCGCCCTGCCACCGCGTTCCCCAGCCGGTTGCTTCCCGAGTCCAAAGCTTCTTTTAAATTCAGGTAAGTGCTCTGAGCCAAGGGCAGATTTCATTTATGAGCCCCAGTGAGGAAACGTGGGAGATCATTTCCCAATACAGGAGCCACTCTCTGGATTTTTAAAGACATCAAACTAAGCTGAAATAGATACCACAGGTAATAGAAGGGAAGGCACTAAGGACTCCATTATTCAGCTTTACAGATTTATCTGCAGACTAGCGGATGCTGCTTGTGTTCTCCGGCTGTTTGGGCAAGGCCAGTGCTCTTTCTTAGTCTATGTACATATTTTTAAAACCAGGTAGAGAAGCCATGCCGTAGCTTATTAGTTGGAAATGAGTGTTAATGAGTCCAGTCTCAGTCCCCGTAAGGCAGATTTAGACCACAACCTAGAACCTAAACTGTGAATCAATAGGAAAAAGGCGTATTTTAAAGTCCTCTGGAGAAACTGTTTTACGTAGATATCTTAATTTACTTCTCTCTAGGCTTGGTAACATCTTCTCTGCAAATTTATTATTATTCACAAGTGTGTGACCCTTAAGGCTCAGGATATGATCAGCTCATAAAAGCCTTTAGAAAAAAATGTAATCATTTTGTATTTCCTTGGATTGTGATTAAGAGATTTGTAATCAATAATACTCAAAATTCATATATAAAGTATCAACAGTGATACACAGTGTTGAAGGTACTTTAATTTTGAAAAAAATAACCAAGACAAAACCACTATGACTGTTCAACAAATTTAAAAATGAAATACATTGTGCTCAGATTGGCAAACAAAATATTAAAATGAATACTGGTATTAACTATATATTTGACTTAAACAGATATAAAAACTGCTTTTATGAAATAATTTATTGAGCACTTTACAAATATGTACTGGTTTATGTTTTATTTTCAAATGATACAAAGTTTTCATGTTGCTTTTTGAAAGTACTTCTTTACAAATAAGCTACATGGATATAAAGTTATTCTCGTTGAATGATAACCCTAATTAGATATAATCACATTTCCTATTTAACATTAGTTTTTGAAGTACTAGACACCTGTATATGCTGGGAAACAATTTTGATCAGAGATATGCTAATACAGTCCTGGCGAAGATCATGTTGCTGAATTATCACTTTCATGTGTTATACTTGTTATTTTCTAATGTCAGTGCTCATTATGCCACCTCTCTTTAACAGATAGAAGTATAATTCAAACAATTAAAAACTGTGAAAAGGTCAAAACCACCTCAGCACCACCACTGTTCAAGGGGGTCCCTTAGCTGGGTGGGGTGGGGGTCATAGGTATGCTGGGCCTTACCACCGTAAACTGAGAGGCTTTCAAATGAAACTCATTTAAATTATTTTATTGATTTAAAAAATAGAAACTCTATCATTACTACCCCTAGGGATAGGAATCCCCTGGAACTTCTCTGCCAACCCTTAGAAACTTACTGGGGAACCTAAAATTTATACCACAGGGGGGAAAACTCAAGTCCAGACACAATTTCTGATTCCACCAGTTGCTTCTAGGATGCTGTTATCAGTCAGAAAGTTTTATGTTAATATATGATGTAATGAGAGTTGTTCTGTGATAATAATTAAATGGTGGTGTTTGGGTATCATGTATGTTCATATGCCCACAAGTTCTTGTTCTAAGTCAAATAAAACAAAATATCTATTGTAGGAATGAAAGATGAACTACTGAACATACAAAAGAAAATCTGGAAACCTGAAAAATGGAGGAAAATAGAAACAATCAAGTAGAAATTAACCTAAGAGTCTATTAGATAATAAATTTTATTTGTTCCTTTAAAAAATATAAAGTTTTATGCTTTAAAAATAATTTTTTTCATAAGAAGACCCAGAGCTAATATACTGCTTCTTTTTAAAATGATCTCTGAAGCAGTGAACAGAAAACTGACAATAGTTTCAGATGATTACACTTATGCATGGAAGGAAAAGTATTTTTTAACAAAGGCTGACCAGTAAAAGTTAGGATTTTTTGAAATTTCCTTTTCTAAATTATATCGAAAGGAAATAATGGAAAACCATATTCAACTGAATGAAGAAACAAGAGTCTTTGTTTCAGCTCTGATCTGAGTCACTGACATTAGACACACACAGGTCACACTGGCTCTTTTGAGATCCGAGGCAGCCCAGGTCAGCCGGCCCACGGAACAGTTCTACAAGGCACCATCGGTTTGTGTGATGTAATGCTAGCATCTGAGACCTAGAATGTACAGGAAAAAATTCGAATATGGTATATAGATCTTTCTTCAATTTATTTCCTCTGAGTGTATATTGGATCGATATTATATTCACTATGCTTTGACTTTTTATTCAGGTGGGCTTTTCCTCGACTCTGTTAGAAGGTTCCTTCCTAAAATCCCAAATGAAAATCAACCCTTTAGGTATGCCTCTACCTGAGTTAGAATAGATTTATCTGTTTTTCCTGTGACAGATATTTCCAAATAGATAGATATCTATATCTTCTGTTTCCAGAACTCCTTCCATGCTTTAATCCGATGACTTCTCTGCTCTCCTGCCAGCAGACGGGCCAAAACCTAGTTGAGACACTCCAGGAAGGTGGTGATAGTTCCTAGGACGGCCATGTAATGGGACAGGCCCTTCATTAGGTCAAGATCACTTACCAGAGTTCTGCTTTCAGAGCTCAAATTTAAACAAACAAAAAATCCTGCTGTCTTCATAAACACTGTCTCGATCTTTCTAACAATCACAGAACATGGTCTGACAATTCATATTGACCATTAGAACCTCTTAGAAATTATCTACCATTTTTGCTTCCTCTCACTAAGTATACATCTCTTGCATTTCTCTAATTGCTAACCTAATGGTACTTCTAACTGGCAGATAAAGAAATGAGGTGCATTATATAATGTTCTATTACTGTTTAACAACTAAACATGGTAAAGTTAGGTAATGTACCTATGTAAATTTTATTACTCAGTTGGTTATTAAAATTTTTTCTTCTTAAAGGACACTCACACTCTCGTCCTAGACAATTATAAAATTCTATTCAGGGGAGAGAGAAATGGTGATTAACAAAAATTAACAAAAGCATCAGAAATATGCTAGTAAATACTACTTTAAATGTTCTGCTGTTCATCTGTAGGTCTTTAACTTACATAAAAAGCATGTCTGTACAATAAACCTATACTTTGTTCTCTTCCTACTCATGACTTTTAATACATTCATTTTTTTCTACCCATTTCCTGTCTTCTAAGATGGTTTCTTGCTCCATCAGTGATTTTCGAACCCCATCAGCAGTGGGGCTCTCTGTTCCAACTGAATCTTATGAAGAATCCCTATGAAACAGCCAAAGCAGAACTGTTCCAATACAGGGTGGGGGTAGGGGGTCGGGGGGCACAGTAGACACAGCGTGAAAATCAGTGCTCGAGATAATTCAGAAGAGCTGAGGTAAAGGTACAGCCACTTAGAATGTCTTCATTCCCTATGAGTGTAAACAATTCCCCCATTGTTTCCAATTTTAAAAAACATTTTTTTGAGTACAGCTGCTTTTATCTCAGCTCATTAACAGAAAAATAGCATAGTGACTTACATAAACTCTTTAGGTATTTGAATACAAATTTCCTTTTTTCATACTATTCAAAAGTGCAAATTAGTATAAACTGTAATCCCACAGCTAGACTATTAAAATGAGTTTTTGAAATATTTCCTATATGATACAAAAATCACTCTGTAGTTACTCTGAGATTATTTTCCTGTGCAATAATTCTGCTGCTCTATTTTTAGATTTAAAAAAAGTCAGTTATATATACCATGTTACATTTCCAACCCTATTTGCTTGAAAGACAAGAAAACAAAGTCAGGTCAGCTTTTAGCTTTGTCAAGCTTAGGTTAGAAACATTTTACAAGAAGTGAAAAATAGAAGGTCTTTTCCCCCAAAAGCAGCTCCCTTGTGCATCTCAGGCGATTTCCGCACATTCAGCAACTGCCCTGCATGGACTCGGAAGGCTTTCAAGCCGACTTTAATGAACGCACAGCCCCTGCGGCCCGCGCCGCCACCTACAGCCGGCAGCCCTGCTCCTCGATGAGCCGCACGGGCTGGACAGGCAGCACCAGGTGGGAGATGCGGCTCCACAGCCCACTCAGCTTGTCCGAGTCCATGTGGTTGAAGGAGTGGGGCGCGTTCGAGCTGGTGAACCGGGCCCAGAGCAGATCTCTCACCTTTTCTTCCGTCTCCCTGGGGCCGACGCTTGCCTCCAACGTCTCCTCCTCTAGGAGGACGGTCAGGACCAGGGCCACGTCTTTGAAGGCGGCATTCTCGTGGTCACAGTACTTGTAGAAGATCAAGGTGGAGCCTGCGGGAAGGGACTCGAAGCGGTGCACCACAGCGGCCTTCTGGCCGTTCTCAAATCCTGAGCTCAGGGCCATGTCAACCAACAGCTTGACCGTGTCGCTGTCCTGCAAGGTTCGCCCAGCCCCATCGATCTGAATGGCTGAGACCTTCTGGGAGGAGGTGTAGGCGTCAGCGACACGGTGGCTGAGGCACTTGAGAGTCTCCCTCCCCTCTCGAGCCGCTGTGAATATGATGGTGGCCGGCTCGGTGGGGTTTGAAGCGTTGAGGTGCTTCTGGAGAAACTTACGTCCCCTCTGCCACAGGAAAGGGCTCTGGCCTGGGAACGCCTCCTTCAACTGGCTGAACTGAGCCAGGAAGGCCTCCAGAGCTGGATTCGGGGACACTTGTTGGGCTGGTGAGAAATAGCTATGAGCGGAGCTCAAAACAAGAGCCACAACAACCAGGAAACCAAAAATGATGGAGCCTGTCAGAGAAGGAGAAAGATAAAAGACAAAGTGGGAGAGAACATGAGTCAGAAGTCAGGCCTGGGGTGAACTGGCATGGGATGCGGTGCTGTCAGATTTACCGGCTGTGGTTAAGTTTCTTTTGCCAAAATGCTTTGAACTTCCTGCTCTTAAAATCTACCAGATATAGGGTTTTCTTTTTTCTGATTTCTTAGCTTTAATTATTTGAAGATACAATATGTTTGTTAAAAGGTAAAAGCTAAATTTATGTACTGGTTGCTATAATATATATGTTGCTGCAATACAATATAAAGATACGATTTAGGAATGAACTATCAGGATAGTCTACCTTTTCAAAGTACCTACACTACCTATAACAAACCGTTTTTTGGTTAAGCGGTCAAAATATAAAAATGCCACTTGAGAGGTTCATACTGAAAAGGCAGTTCAGATTCTTGTTTACTTTCCTCCTGTGGGACATTCCCATTTCGTTCAGGATGGAAACTATCCCCCAGGCCCGTAAAGGAAAAACCCCTTAAATCTATTGCTCTATCTTACTGCTACCTACTAACTTAAAAAAAAAAAAAATGATTAAGCTGTTTAAATCTGCAGGTTTTTTAGTATTTTTCTCTGAGGATTTCTGAGTATGAATCAACACTATACTAAGACCAGCTTGGTTCTTACCATAGCTCCAAAAATCCCTGTTATTGATGTTTCTGATGGCTTCCTGTGCATCCTCATTGTCTTCTTCCAATGTTCGTGTTTCTTGTTGATGACTTTCAGCTTCTAGGGGGGGAAAAACATTATTTTTAGACAGTACACTAATGAGAGTGCCTATACCTTTATAGCTGTTACCAAACCAAAGAATTACTTCAGAGATTTCTATCCTTTATAAAATTTTCTTTTATACAAAGCTAACTTTTTCCCTGTCTTTTCCTTATGGTTCGTTATTATTTTTATTCTACCTGAAAGAATAAAATGTAGTGCTAGAAAATTCATTTAAGAATACTGTTGCTACATTCACAGTTCTTCACTGGTCCTTACATCAGGGACAAAGAAGCAAAGGTCCCAATAGTGCAGCCAAACCTATCTAAATAAGTCAACCAAAAATGTACAAAACCAAGAAGTGATTTAAGAACTGTCAGCTGTACACAAGACTCAACATCACAGGACAATGATGCTCAGATTCTGGTGTTCAAGTCTCATGTGGCTCCTTGGGGCCCCTGAGTCCACACATAACAGAGGCACTAAGTTTAGAAGCAGGAGAGATGACCGTACAGTTGCAAAATAGCTTGCAAAAGCAAGTCTGAAACTCTTAGTGAAGGAGGTAGACACAGCCGGGACTACAAGGTTAAGAACGTTCATCAACTATATAAAAATGTAGTTGTGGGTAAGACACCAATCTTAGAGTGTGGGGTGCAAAGCAGCGCAGGATTTTGTAGTGCTCTAACTCCGCGCTCTGCAGTGTACTCTGGAGTGCAGAGGGGTATTCGACCCCAGCCAGGTACCTCACTCAGCGGCGAGAGCTGAGTATTGTCCCTAACCCTTCCTGGAAAAACAACTCAAATATCATACTGTATTAAGGGAAGAAACAGAATCAGCTTTACCTGCGAAGGATATTTCATTTAGTCATAAAAAAAAAATTTTTTTTAAACTGTCCTATCACAAAACGTAAAGACTGAAAGGATCTTTAATGATCCCCCGCTCCAGCCTCCAACCTTCCCTTTTATAGCCAAAGGTCCAAGGAGGGTAAGGCTTTGCCCGAGGCCACAGGAAGAAATGTGGCTGAGCTGAGATTAGAACAAGGCTTCTCATCTCCTCAATCAGCTCATTCCATTAAAGTAAGTTGCTTCCCACAAATAAACTATATTTTAAAACAATATTTTCTTCCTCTCCTCAATGGACCTGCAAACCAGTGAAATTCTGATGGCAGATAATGGTCCATGTAACTTTCATTCATTTCTGCAGTTAACAAATACTCATAAAGTTGTTTCTCTGAGCCAGGTGCCACAAGACACAATGAATGAGAGAGAGACTGCCCCTGCTTTCACTGAAGTGACAGACTATTCTAATGATTAATGAATGAAATATATATTTGCGATCAGTCATGGATTTATAGTTAAACACAAATTTCTAGCCCTTAGGTCCCGGAGAAACAGGGTATCTTATATTTTATATTCCTCTGCATTGACAAATAGTCATTTCAGATTGGGCTCTTCAGAGTACTTGTAACATACAAATCCACACATCCAATCACAGAAGGTGGGAGCTGGAAGAGACCAGCTGGATATCATCTTGTCCAACTTCTTCATTCTACAAATAGGAAACTCAAGTTACCGAAGTTAAAAGATTTGCCCAAGGTCACCTAAGAGGGAGGGCCACAGCTAGAATCCACGGCCCTTGGGTTCCAGAAAGGACTTAGCATGCCGGAACTATTATCTTCATAAGGGATGATATGATGCTTGCTCTTAATATACAAGCCAGGGGAGAGGGGCTAGGAATCAGATATAGAGAAATTAATTGATTTGCTCTAAGTCCTATAAAACTGAAATGACTGCATTAAGGGTGCTTGCACCATAGATGTTGGCTTTTAAATTTCCCATCTCTTGATTTTTGTAGCATTTAGTTTCTCCAAAACTAAAAGATTTTAAAAATTGTAAGTGAAAACATGCTCATGAGAAAAAAAGAAAAAGCCAGAGGTCAATTTTGTAAAAGTCATGACCTTTTTTTTTTTTAAATCATACTACAGTAATACAAACAGTAAATAAGTGAAACCTTTGTTTAAAAATGCAGTTTATTTAATAGAATGGAATAAGCTAGTCTAGGAGATAAGAAAGCTCATTCTAATCACAACTCAGCCATCTCTCTTTATGTGACCTTGGGCGAGGTCTTGAGATGTTCTCCGGAAAGGACACTGACCTATGATGTGTTGTCAGTGACACAGCAATGCAACACGGGACAGAAAGGTCAGTGGGCTCTCTCACCTGGCTCCACCAGTCGCCTCCTCAGTGTCCCCTGGCTCTCCAGTCCTGCACTGGAGGGACCAGGACTCTGGGCCCCCAGGGAGTCTATGGCAGGTGGCTCCTGGGCAGCTCCAGGCCTGCTGCTCGCTTCCTCAGGGAGGTCCAAGGAGCTGCTCCCTGTCGGTGCATCTGCTCTTCCTGCCTGGTCACCTGGAGAACCGCTGGGCTCTGGACGCAAGGATTCTTCACCCAGACTTTCTGAAGAGAGCTGATGCTCTTGTTCGCCATCCTGAAAATTCTGGCTAGTCTCATGTTCTGTTTTATCCTTTGGGTATTTTTCACAATTTGTTTCGCTGGGACTTTCTGATAGATCAGCTGTACTGGTGCGTCCTGAACCTATTGTTTCTACCTCTTGGGGGTCTTTGTTGAGGCCAGCTGGAGGGCTCAGGGTCTGAGCTTCTTTGGTGGCACTTGCTGTGACTATGGTCTCCTGTGCCTGAGAGTTTATTGATGGTTCATTTTCCAAATCCTTTTGAGAGTCTATGGAGATAAAAATTTATCATTTTATTGAAAAAAAATTTTTCCTTTTGTATTTTAACAAAGTCCCTGAATAATAAGTAATATTTACATAGAGTTTTGTGGTCAACAAGGCATTCTTCCTAAAATTATTTTTCTCGACATCCACTAAAGGAGATTAAGACAAAACAAATTTATGTTAATGAATTTAGCAAGTACTATTAATGTAAAACTATTCTGAATGACAGAACCAATGTTTGGCTGCATTAAAACATCCTCTTCCCTAATGAAGTAATGGATCTAGCCGATCATCATCAACAGCAACTAAAACCATTCTGCAAAAAGCTGATGAGTTTTATGACCAAACAGACAACTGCCGAACCAGGTGATCAATCTTAACGTCACCCAAAGAGGGAAAACCAGACATCATTAACCTCCCGATTCAATGCAACAGGAAGTACCACCTAGGAAGTCTTCCTGCACAACAACCGAAATCTGAATCTGATCATGCTTCTAGAGCTAACTACCAGGTTCCAAGAAACACAGGGAGGGAGGAATGTATTAAATTATGCCTCAGGAATGCAATCAGTAAAACCCAGAATGTGGGACATTCCAAGGGACAAAAGACTCTGTTTCTTTAGTAACAGCAAGAAACAAAAACGAATGGCAAGGAAAGGGGGAAAAAAAGGAGGGGTGGCCTGCTGATTAAGAGAGACATCAGAGACACATCAACCAAATGCAATGTGTGGACCACACTGTTTAGATCCAGTGTCAAAGAAATCAATTGTTAAGGAAATATTTATGAGACAATCAGAAAAATCTGGATGCCAGATATTTGATGATATTAAGAAATTTTTTGTTCATCTTTCACAACAATAAAGGTATTGTGATAGTGTTTTTTTTAAAAGAAGCCTTACCTTTTAGAAATAAGTATTCAAGTATTTATGGCTAAAATTACAGGTCTAGAATTTGCTCCAATTAAATGATATGGGGGAAAGGGGAGGAGAGGGAATCTAGGTGAAACAATATAAGCCATTATGTTGACAGCATATGAAGCTGTTCAATGGCTACATGGGATTCATTTCATCCCTCTCTCTACTTTTATATGTTTGAAATTTTCATAATAAAACTTTAAAAAATTAAGCAATCCAAAAGATACATCAATCAAATGCAGTGTGTGATCCTACTATAAAAAGAAAAAACAAAAACAAAAAAGCACCAACTGTGATCGAAACAAGTGAGTAAATGTGAATACTCACTGGATATGTGATGAGATTAAGGAATAACTTTTTATTTTTTTAGGTGTGATAATACTATTTTGGTTATTATTTTTAATCTACTTTTAAAAGAAAACTATTCACAAATAAAATAATGTAATATCTTGGATTCACATTTAAATATTCCAAGGCAGTCCACAAATTCAGCATTATATAGGTAATAGTTGAAGTTAGATGTTGAATTCATGGAGGTTCATGATACTGTTCTTTTATATTTTTAAAAAACATCTTAGTAAACGATTTAAATAAACATGCTCTTCAGAAGAGAATCTGAAAAATCTACTACATATTTTGCCAATTTTGTATATATTCTCTGTATACACATAAGTAGGATGAATTTAAGTTTCATCTTTCCCTATAATTGAAAAATCCCCTCTAAATATATAGTACATCACTGTTTTCTTAGTTTTTAAAACCATCTTGATTTTTTTAGATAAGTAAAGATTTGCCTACAATCTTTTTCTAAATTTCATTGTATTCTTCCAATACTGTATAATTATAAGTATGGTTACTGTTTTAGAGATTCCAGTCTCTAAAACAGTAACCATACTTATAATTAAGATCTGGTATTATGGTAAAATTCAGTAAATATGAAAGAATAAGAATAACCATACTAAATTAATGAATTAAGTTAACTTCTGTTTTACTTCCAAACTTTCAGATTTCAGTCAGTCTTCAGAGGTTTTCCCTCAGGACAGCCCTAGCTTCCTACAGCACCAACGTCAGCACGCACGGCACAAACTCATCTTACCCTCTGGCGGATCCCCAAGTCCTCTCTCCGCCATGTTTGTCTTCTGCCTCTTCAGAGTTTGGGATACTTTTTGTTAGTGTCTGGTTTTCCTTGTGAAGATGTCTTGTTTTCGTCTTCTCCCAGGTCCCAACAGACTCATGCTTCCCGTGGACCCAGGAAACAAGGCATATATACAGTCACTAAAATATAATGGAAAAAAAAAGTAAATGACTTTTTATTTATACATGGGAGAAATGCCAATTTCAGCTTTATTTATTACATTTGTTTGGTTTCAGTAGTGTTTCCTCTCTAAAACTTTTTCTAGTGAAGAAAAAACATTTTCTGCCTTTCTTGAGGGTCGTGTTCCATGTTCTAGACTACAAATAGAAAAAAGCTTCAGATTATTAACTTTGAATGCCATAATCTCCTACAACATTCCAGTGTGGCTGAAAGGATAAGACCAAGTGACCAGAATCTTAAAGAGAACATCTATGAAATTGAAATAAAAAGTAATTCTAAGAAGAGAAATTTAAGTCACTGCTGACTCACTCACTGGAGATGTCCTGTATGTCTTCAGTTTCTGTCCAATATAAATTCCTCAGACTTTACTTGTCAGGAGCTTATCTTTAGCTCCTGTCAGGAGCTAAGTAACAATGCACAGGGGCTACCTGCAAACTAAGATAATTGCCTTGGTATTTAGAGTAGGAAACACACATTTGGAGTTCCATTACTGCCTTTTTAATGGTATTCTTTTGTAAAATATAGAGAAGTATCTCTTTATAGAATGCCTTTTTAGGCAGTACTCCAAGAAGTCTGAAATGTAAATTAAGAGCCACATACAAAAGGAATCAAAAGCAGAGGCGATTTATAAGCAATAAAAACAATTATATCATTTTATAGTCAAAATCTTATTTTTTTTCAAAAACAATTATTATCTGAAGTTACCTAACCTTCATTATCTGTAAAAATGATTAAAGCTTGCTATGAGGATTAAATACAAAAGTATATGTGATCCTCAAAAAAATTAAGAACTACCATATGATCCAGCTATTCCACTTCTGAGTATTTGTCCAAAGAATTTGAAAAGGTACAGGCACCCCTATATTCATTGCAGCATTATTTACAACAGCCAAGATATGGAAACAACCTACGTGTCCATCAGTGGATGAATGGATAAAGATGTGGTACAAATATACAATGGAATAGTACCCAGCCATAAAAAAAGAATGAAATCCTGCCTTTTGCAACAAAATCAAATTGTATGGATGAACCTAAATGAAGTAAGTCAGATGGAGAAAGACAAATACCATACAATTTGACTAATGTGTAATCTAAAAAAAAAAAAGAACAAAAAATAAAACTAACAGATACAGAGAACAGATTGGTGGTTTCTAGAGAGGTACTGGGGCAACTACATGGTGAAGGATGGTAATAAAACTTTCAGGGGTGATCACTTTGTAGTATATAGATATTGAATTATAATGCTATTCACCAGGAGCTTATATGTTACACACCAAGTTTAACTCAATAAAAAACCAAAAATAAATATATGTGAAAGAGTTTTGTAAAGTGTTGTATTTTGACAGGCTAGTCTTCTTTATATGTTTCTCACAACAGAATTTTGTGAAATTTAATCTTAAAAATTAAAATTTTGATCCCAAATGCCTAGCACAGTGTCTGGTGTAGAGTAAGAACCCCCTATTTTAATGGAAAAGAATATGAACGAACGGGTGAGTGAAGAGCAGTGCCAATTATAAACAGGAAGGGCAGGGAGGAGTTAGGGACAGGCCTCCTCTCCGCATGTGTACACCTATGGACCGTGTAACAGAGAAAGGATCAGTGTTTCCTGGGGGGAGAAGAACTGACTGGACCAGGGCATGAGAAAACATGTTGGGGCCAAGAAAGTGTTCACATTTTTATTGAGGTGGTGCTTAAAATTGTCATCAAATTTAAAATCTGTACATTTTATTGCATGTAGAATATCCTCAATAAATCTTACAACAGAATGCTTTCAAAACATATTACTTGGTAACAAAACGTACTACTCTAGGTCACAGCCAATAAACAATCTGCAGGCTTCTGGCCATGATGGAAACGTAGATAGATATGCTTTACCTCCTTGTACAACCAAAAGGAGAACCACCAATTTAAAAAGAAGAAACAATGAGAACTGCCGGAAAATCGAACCGTATGGAAGTCTGACAAAGGATTTAAAGAAGAAACATTCATCCAGACCAGTAGGAGGGGCAGAGACTGGAGAGGGTGTGCAGCGAGGGGGTGGCTGGCAACCTGGATGGTCCCACATTCATGAGCAGAGAAAAACAGTGAGGAACAACTGGGGACGGAGACAGACTGCCCAACCCAGGGTTCCAGCACGGAGAAAATAAAGCATCAAAACCTCTATAAAAGCCTGTGGGGGGTTGCAGCAGCAAGAGAAACCACAAGTCTTTCAGGAGAGTCCATTGGAGGGGCCCACAGGGTCCTAGAATGTACACAAGCCCGCCCATCGGGGAATCAGCACCAGCGCAGCACTTGGAAGGGCACAAGTACTTGTGGGAAGCAGGGGAAGTGACTGAAAGCCAGGTGAGAGCCCAGCAAGAGGCATTGTTCCCTCTCTGACCCTCCCCCACATACAGTGCCACAACACAGCGACCTGAGTTGCCCTGCCCTTTGAATGTAACAGGGACGCCAAGAAAAAGAAATATGGCCCAAAGAACAGATCAAAACTCCAGAAAAAGAACTAAGTGATGAGGAGCTAGCCAACCTATCAGATGCAGAGTCAAAACACTGGTAATCAGGATGCTCAGAGAAATGATTGAGTCTGGCAGCAACATAAAGGAAGAAGCAAAGGCTATATAAAGTGAAATAAAGAAAAATATACAGGGAACCAACAGTGGAGGGAAGAAAACCAGGACTCAAGTCAACAATTTGGAACAAAAGGAAGAAATAAACATTCAACTGGAACAGAATGAAAAAACAAGAATTCAAAAATACAAGGAGAGGCTTAGAACCCTTTGGGACAACTTTAAATGTACCAACATCTGAATCATTGGAGTGCCAGGAGGAGAAGAGGAAGGGCAAGAAATTTAAAACTTATTTGAAAAAAAACAATGAGAGAAAACATCCCCAATCTGGCGAAGGAAACAGACATACAAGTCCAGGAAGCTCAGAGTCCAAAACAAGTTGGACCCAAAGAGGACCACAGGAATACATATCATAAATAAAATGCCAAAGATTAAAGATAAAGAGAGAATCTTAAAAGCAGTAAGGCAGTTACCTACAAAGGAGTTTTCATAAGACTATCAGCTGATTTCTCAAAAGAAACCCTGTAGGCAAGAGGGGGCTAGAAAGAAGTATTCAAAGTCATGAAAAGCAAGGACCTACATCCAAGATTTCTCCATCAAGCAAAGCTATCATTTTAGAATGGAAGGGCAGATAAAGTGCTTCCCAGATAAGGGGAAATTAAAGGCATTTACCATCACCAAGTCCTTATTTATGAAATGTTAAAGGGACTTATCTGAGAAAAAGATCAAAACTATGAGCACTAAAATGACAAGAAATTCACAACTATCAACAACTGAACCTAAAAAACCAAAAACAAACAAGAAAAAACGAAGCAAACAACTAGAACAGGAACAGAATCATAGAAATGGAGATCACTTGGAGGGTTATCAGTTTATCAGCAGGGAGGGGGAAGGGGGAAAATGGGGGAAAAGGTACAGGGAATAAGAGGCATAAATGCTAGGTACAAAATAGACTGGGGGAGGTTTAGAATAGGATAGGAAATGGAGAGGCCAAAACCTTGTACGTACAACCCATGGACATGAACTAAGTGGGGAGAAACACTGGAGGTAACAGGAGTATTAGGCAGAGGGGGCTAAAGGGGAGAAAAAAATAGGACAACTATAATAGCATAATCAATAAAATGTACTTTAAAAAAACCACCTGCAAAGGAACCACCACAGGTATTCCTATAATCTTACAAATGCTCGAGATAACATCTTTGTCCTCTCAAGGTACAGGCCGTTCCTGTAGCCCCTGGTATTCAGGCCCTTTGCAAAGTGTCACGTGTCATGCTGTGGTATCTGAGAGGTCTGGAGGCCACTAGTCCAGAAGCAGGTCAATCTTTTGAATGTGTCCAATCCGTACCAGGAAGTGTGCGCACTCGGAACCTCCCTTCATCATGGAAGTGAGGCGGAGCCTCATCCTGATGGAAATGGGGAAGTTGGAGACTTTCTGCAGCAGCATGAAAAACCATTCTGTACTTACGTCTGAGATACCTTGGAAGGCACCTTTTGCAAAAATGAACTGATGGAAGACCCCATGTATTTCTCATGGCAGAAAAACATTTACGTTTAGGGGAATCCTTTCAAGGTCAATGGTGAAATGTTGGTTTCCAGTGGCCACTATGTGGGGGTGACGGTGAATTCATTTTTCCACTTAGGAAAACTTAGGCTCATCACCGGAAGTCATCTCCACTTCCTGTGACCCTGAACGCTTATCGTTTGCTTTAGCTGTCTCCAGGAGGGCCTGAGACAGGTCCCACAGTGAGGTTTTGTTCTCCACACATGGAGCATGAACCAGGTGGCAGGATGAGGAATGTCTGCCTGAATTTCAGTATCCTGGCACTTCTCTAAGGAGCTACCCAAATTTGCCTCGCTGCCTCCTCTGCTGGCTACCCTTCGTGCTCCATCTCCTCGGACCAGTGGTGATGCTGGGACAACCTGGTAGGTGTTCATTGTCTGGCGCACGGAATGACCCTTGTACTGTAGGGATTCAAGCAAGTCTCGCGGGCTCCAACATATATGTTGTAAGAGTACTCTACAAATAGATGCATATTACATATTTATATATATATATAAATGTTATGAATAATAAAAATTTAGAAGTATCCAATTCTCTTTAGTGCCCTGTACAGTTTAATATATACAAAAAATTAAACACACAAATAGAAAGGATAGACACAAACTTCCGTTTAGTGCTTGCTTCAAGGATGGGATTTGACTACCTCTGTCAAGTGTCTTTTAAAAGCACAGAGATAAATGTGGCAAAACGTTCATGTGACCTAGGTACATCGGTGAATGTTATATTCTGCACTTTCCTGTATGTTGCAGTTAATACTTTTTTAAATGTGTAATAAAATATATTGGCTTCTGTGGGGAAAAGAATAAGAAAAGGCTTCCAATGGTAGCTCTTTGAGCTGAGAAGCAATGAACTGAGTCACCATCCAACCACATTCCCCCATACATTTTGTCACAACCAGTTGGGAGGAGGTAAGACAAGGAAAAGCTGCTAGGAAACAGTAGGACCTTACCCAACCTCTGGTCCATCCTAGCCACGGGGACCAGGCAGCAGGAGGGGCGGGAGGGGGTGGGGAGCTGGCAGAGACCCGCAGAAGAGGGAAGGCGGGCAGCAGGAAGCACTGGTATCCGCAACACTGAGATGCAAATGTCTTTTAAAAAGGAGAAAGAAATAAGAACTTCAGCAGCTGAGAAGGATGTAAGAGAGTAAGAGAATAGGTCCATCCAGGATGGTAGTTCAGATATAAATGTCATCAGGACAAATGTGTGGCAGTCAGGGCCCAACAAGCATGTATCTTTTCTTCTATTTTTAAAAGCTTATTTTAATGAACGATGCCACCTTAGGCTCTGGAGATAAAAAGCAGCAGATATCTTGGCCCTCAAACAATTTACCATCCTGCTGTGGAAACAAACACCATAAAACATACACAACGACAATAATTGCTAACATTTATTGAGCGCCTTCTTTGGGCCAAGCAGCCTTCCAAGCACTGTGTGTATGAACTCATTCAATCTTCATGACAATCTTATGATGTACGGACTATGGTTATTCCTTCTCTTTTCCAGATGAAGGAAGCGGGTGCAGAGGTTAACTTGCCCCGGGTCACGCAATAGCCAGAATTTGAAGGCAAACCCAGGTCAGCTGGCTGCAGGGCTGTCTGCTTCCTCTACAAGCTGTTCTCGAGTCGCACGCCCAAGGTCCCACGGAGACCGAGGGCCGCTGGGCAGACTGAAGAGCCGGGAGGGGTATGACTCATCTCACCTTACTGGTACCTATAACATGCTGATGGCCACATACTCTTTAGATGCCACAGAGTTCTTTTTTTCGCCTGGGCTTGCCTGCTTGCCTGGGATTCCTTCTCCTATGACTTAGGGATGAAGCTTCACACAGTCCCCCACAACCCCGGGCAACTTTCTCTTGAGGAGACATTTTCTTCCCCGTCTGCCCCAGCGTGTTTCCATTAACCTTCTACTCCTGGGTCTGCCATAAAATACCAGGAAGTATTTATAAAAGCCATCTTGTAAACGGCCACTATTATGTGTGAGTAATATTAGCAACTCCTCCACAGTAGGGAAAGAGACTGATGTGGCTCGCATAATCCAAAATAGTGGCTAACCCTCCAGATCATTTGCTATGAAAATTTTAGAAAAATTAGTTTGACGGTATCATTAATTCTTATACTTTAAAATTCATCTATTCATTAACTCTGGAGCATTCTAGGATAATCTACAATTAGATTGTAGTCCAAGTGTGGTCATAGTGAAAGGACCAAAGCTGAAAAGCTACAAAGCTTTCTGAATTTTCTCCCTTGCTCAGTTTTATGAACTCTCCCACATGTTGTTATTTCTGGGAGCAAATCTGTGCAGGTATGTGATAATCACGTCTGAGGACAAAGTACTCTTCTTACTGTAATATTAAAATTAATATTTTTGCTTCTTTTGCATATATATTCACATGGCTTATACCGACACCACACAGAACTGCTTGTGAGCAGGGCTACAATAGTGCAATCACTTTAATTAATGAGAAGAAATGTGACTGAGTTGTATCCTGAAGTATCAAGTGACTTTCAGTCTGATGGGAAATCTGTTTGTGTGACCAGCAAGGTATAGTAACAGTCACTACCTTGCAGCTTTATCAGCACCCAATTCCCATCCTTTTAAGCCAGTATCTAAACACCATGGAAAGGCTGCTGTTATCTCCCTCCAAGCCCGGTCCACAGAGCACCTGCACAGGTCTCCTAAGGCACTATTTATAAAATGCAAATTCCTGAGCCCCGTGAACAACCTAAGGAATCAAAGTTTCTGTAAGATACAAAAACAGAAGACTTTTCCTCTATTTTGCTGATAATTAAAATTCCACATATATAGAGAGTTTCTCAGTATAGATCTGAAAAACTTTAGAGGACAATAATATTGATTCTAAGACCATCCTCAAAAGCAATTCTTCAAAGTAAATCTTCACTTTGGAGTTTTTATCCAAGGGTTGATGATAAACTACTAGTCTTCACTCAGTTTAGCAGTCCACACAGTTTATTCAGCAATATAACAGGAGAAACTTCCACCAGCATAGACATAAGGCAGATAGATACAGGGTAGATCTCGGGTACATTCTTTATACAGACTCAGGTTTCATATCAGGTGCCAGGCATGGTTTCTTACATAAAAACAGCCATTCATTCCTCACCTCCTCCTCCCTAAAAGAGCCCTCATTTTCTCCGGGGAGACAGGGTGCCCTAGCCAGGCACTGCCAGCCCCATCCCTTTCCCTGGCTCCCCAGGCCCCCTTGTGAGCCAGGACCTTCTAATGAGATGTAAGAAGAAATCGGTGAGGGGCTTTTGAGAAAGATTTCCTTACCAAGTAAGACAGGGTCTTCTTGAAAGGAGAAATCTTTTTGCTTCCTACCTCCAGCCTTTGGGACTGAAATGCCTGAAGCAGCAGCAAGCCACACTGCAATCACAGAAGATACTATGAGGACAAAAGCCAATGTGATAAGGATCCCAGAGGGAAGAAGTGAGAGAGCCTGGGACCTTGAGAACATTGCTGAGTTGCTACATAAGCACTGGGTTATCTAGCATCTTCAGTGGAATTTTAAAGTTGCTCAGTGGCCTCTGAGATGTTTTCAGCCGTTTCGTCCTAAGTTTCTTAACCCGATCTCTGGTTCCACAGTTGTCACAAGTGAAGGCCAGCACGTGGCTAATGTCCAGCAAGACCTTCTTAGTTTTAAGAAAGATGCTTTCCTTAGACTGCTCGTAATACACGTGGAGTCAGGCTTGGTAACGCCTGTCTCATACGGGTACTTTTCCGTTTCCTGGGTAGGACGTTCTAAGGATAGTCTTTGTTTCTGCAGGGCCAAGAAGTGTAGACAGTGGCACTTCTGCATGTTCTTGTGCGTCCCTGTGTAGGTACTGCCTGGCAGAACGGGACTTCTCTCGAGTGGCCAGTTATCGATAATGTCAATGCCACACAGAGGCCAAATAGAGCCAACAATGGATAAATGATTATATATGAATAAATTATATATATATAAAATTGCTGATTAATGTATAAGAGGTGGGGTTTAGAATAACGTAGTGTCTTATTAAAGTGTCTAGTTTTCACCAAAATAATCTAGAATCCAGCTACAATGAAGATGCTTCCCCACAGAAGTTATCACTAGAAATACCATTCTGGAGGACATGGTTAGGGGCACCTCCTCCAGCATGACCTTGTCACATGTCAATCATTAGGTTGTGGAGCTTTCTAGGAGGGGTAAGCTAATTCCAAAACATAGGGAACATGAAATAATCTGGTTCTAGGTGAACAGTCTGGCTGCAATGCTGATTAAATTCATGCTGAACAGAACAGGTGTAGACCATGGTAACAGCCAACAATTTAAACGGTTCCCCAAAGTAGTGACAGTCTGGATCAGATTTAAAAGGAGTCATTTTTCCATCTTCCTTGGGTTGCTAGTACAAAACCCTCTAGACTTGCCGTGATTTTGACTGTTTAAGAAGTTATTTGCTTTGGCCAAGTTTCTTGTTTAAGGTCGTGTCTGTTCTAGTCAAAATCAACTGTAATGCAGGGTTAAAACCAGCAATTCTAGAGTCATGTATCCTTTTTCTAACCAGCGGAGGACCCAGAAGAAATGGATGGCAAGCTTTTTCAAAGGTCCACCTGGTAAGATTTTGGGGAGCCCACTCAAGTGGGAAAGACCAAGGAAGAACAAGGCTTCTATTAGCAGGATTATCGGGATAACACTCAGGGCAATAATCAGCCCTGTTAATGCGGTCCAAGAACACCTGGTAACATTCATTTTCGATAAGTTCAGTTTGGTACAACCAGTGGCCTAGTTCTAAACTAGGGAACCACTGTTGTCCACAGTCAGGGCAATGGGAGTTATCTGAGAACATCTGGGCCTCCAGGGATAACACAGAAAGAGAGCAATGTAACAATAAGAGGCAACAATGACAGAGACACCCAAATAACCAGTCCTATCACAGATGTGGTTTAGCAATTTCTCAGTCCAACCAATGCTACTTGGAAAGAGTTAAATTTGGCTTGCACCTCCGTGCAATTCTTCAAGATTTCGTTGTCTTATTTTTCACTCAATTGCAACTCAGTTTCTCAACTCAGCGACTGATCCAGTCTATAACGTTATCAGTCACCTGCTAGGAGCACAGATCTCAGAATAGCTCCTTCTAATCCCAGCTAAATTAGTTACTTTTTCTTGTGTGTTAATCAGCTGATGATCTCACGCAGAGGCACTTGGCTCACTCTGCTTTGCGGGTCAGCTATTAGGTCTGCTTGGTCAAAGAGAGGAGCTGACAGGTCCAACGGATCTCTGTGGGCGCTGGCACTCCTGCCGCTGTGACTCACGTACCCAAGTCTTAAGGTCTTGGCACTTTCCAATGACGTAGCGGGGTCAGAAGACCTGGGAGAGTCCTCTTGAGCGTAGATCCAGTGAAGTCTTTCCTGAGGACCTGAGTCAGGACCCCAACAGAGAAGGAGCTGACGCTGAGCTGGCTGGAGGGTCTGGGAATGCTTCACATACCTGTAAATGATAACACTTCAGACAACTCATAATGGGTTTTGAGTTGCTCACAATATTATGACAAACATGCATTTGGAAATCATTTGGGTTCAAACCAATTTACCTGTTGGGAGTTATTCTCATGCTTATTTGGGCACAAGGAAAGGTTTTGGTTCATTTAAGATTTGTACTAGCCTAATTTTTTTTTTTTAGGACTGTTTCCTTTCTCTACTTCTTTGTACTTTGAGAATAACCAGGTCTGTATAATCATGTTTAACCTGGTAGAACTTTGAGATTTCTTGTATACGTCTTCTGTGAAGTGGGTGCCGCATACAGTATTCCCACCAGGCGGGAGAATAGTAACAAAGGTGACAGCCTTTCTATAACAGACTTCAATCCACCCAGGAAAAAGCTTACAAAATTAGTAAATAATATTCTTACTAGGGAACAACAGGAAGTTGGATGCAATCCTTTTGAAGGCTGAAAAAGAAACCAGGAGGGGTAGGTCTCCTTGCCCGCATCCATTTTAACAGGTCTGTGCACATCGCAAGGTAAAGGCAGAGTCCTGAGAGATTCTCGGAAAACACGGTAAACCAGTTGGAATCTGCAGATGTTATCATCTCTGCAGTCCTTCCCGGCATGGATGGAACACGTAAACGAGGTGGGGCAGCAGGATGCATGGAACAACCAGAGAGCCGCCTAGGGGGTGCCTCCGGTCGTCAGAGTGCGATGCACTCCCTGACTTTCTCTCGTGTTATCTGTGAATTTTGAGGCTTGCCGTTTGAGAGTGCTAAGGAACGCAGGGAATTCATGAGCGCTGAGACTGTATAAAAGCGTGGCCTGGATAGCAGAGGGAGGGACAGCCTTAGCTGTGGCAGCCAAAGCATTTTCCTTACAGACATTGGCAGTGGCTGTGCCTCTCAAGATTTTAAAATGGCAATTTTCCAAGGCAACTGAGGGGCAGCCTCTGACAGGGCTGCAACATGGGGTCAGTATGCTGACCGAAGCCCCAGGTGAGGTGCAGAAAGCATCAGTGCAGATGTACTGGTGTGTTCTTTGAGGTTAGGTAACAATGGGTGGGTGAGAGCTACCAATTCAACTCCTCGGGCAGAATAAACAGATGGTAGGGCTCCTCACTCGATGACCTCTGTCCTGACCACAGAGGGCACAATGGCCTTCCTTGAGCTGCTATGGACAAGAGCCACCAGCAAGTTTTGGCTGTCATACTGGGAAATCTTGGGCGTCCAGTACATGGAACTTGTGCACGATGAGTAACAGCCCCTATGATCATGGGGTTTAACTTAGAAATGAGTGGTAAAGTTATATGACTGAGTCTGACAGTGAAAAGATACAGAATTTTGGATTTTTAGAGTGAAAAAAGGGGAAATTTAATACCCCAAGATACTATTTCATATCCCCCAGACTGGCAATAATGAAAAAGTGTGACAACGGGGGCTCCGTAAGCTCTAGGCGAGAGCGCCCCTCCCCGAGGACATCTCCATGGGCAGGGGCGAGTGGAAGCCCTAAATTTAGCCCCAAATGCTCAGAATAAATCCACCCTTACCCCAACCTTCATTTCTCCAGCTTCAAGAGTCAAGCAAGCACTAGAGCTCCAGGCATTCGTTCCTTTACCAAGAGAACACTAGCTCCCACAGGCTCCAACCAGACCACCCCTCCCCGCCCTTCAAAGCAATGCCTGTGGGCCGGAGTCAAAGTGGGCCCTGAGGGCTCAGAATAAGGGTGTCTGCCACCAGCCCCTTCCTCATTCCTTGGCCTTATCACCACCAGGTGAACAAAGGCCTCCGAAAATGCTCCTGGCGAGATTCACAAACTCCACCCCCACAGGCACAGCTTCGCTGCCAACACCTGCTTGAAAGCACCAGGGCCAAGAGATCCCACCAAACCTGTACCCTCTTATGTCGTTACCCGTGAAGCCAGAGCTTCCTAGTCACAGTTCATCCCCCTCGTCTCTAATGACTCTAGGGGCAGTGAGACAACATCCCCTTCCCTTGTTTTATTTTTTTCTCCTAAAACATGTACCATTTTGATATATTAAATATCTCAGCTATTAGCCCCTACTAAAATATTAACTCCTTAAGATTAGGACTTCTTGTCTTTTTATTTACTGCTGTGCATGCCCAATAAACATTTCTTGATTGAGTAAACAGTAACTTGAATCCTTAGACCCTAACAATGAGAGCATAAATTAGTGTACCTACTGTTGAACTAATTTGGCATTATCTAGTAAAGCCAAAGATGTCATTTCTGATAATTCAGTAATTCTGCTCTAGGCTTTTATACGCTAGAGAAATTTGCACGTGCATTGAAAAACAGGAATAAAAATTTTTATTCACGGTAGTACTGTGTATATAGCAAAATAACAGCCAAATGGAGGTACTATCACACAACAGAATACTGTATGGAGACACACAGATGGGGCTCCAGAATATAATACTGAGCTGAAAAATAGAAAACAAGTAGCAGAATACACACACACAGTTCCATTTACATAAAGTTGCAATATATTGTTTAGGAATAAATATGCAATAAAGTTAAAAAGAAAAAGATAAGCACAAGGATAATTATTACTTTTACTGGGAGAGGGAAGGGGATATGATGGAGAGGACAATCATGAATTTTTTCTTTCTCTGAATCATAAATCCTAATAGCTTACATAACCTCTACTGCATCGTGTATAATTTAAAAAGAAAGGGTAGAGTGGGATTAGCCATGGGCTAGAAAGAGAGATTAATAGGTAAAACCAAGCTTCCACCAGGTGGACGAGGAGAGCAGCAGCTCCTCTGCTTGGAGGACAAGAGGGCGGTGGGTAGTGCGAGAGTGAGGGAGGCAGGAGCCCTACAGAAGGCTCTGCATCTTTGTTTTTCTCATAAAATTGTAACTATCTTCACAGGAGTACAGTAAAACAGGCCTACCTATGGCTGCTAAGGACGAGAAAGTTTATCTTGGTGTCCCCCACCAAGGCGCGCACCTGTCTGCAGAGGGGGTATTATGTCGCAGGGTGCAAGTTAGAAAAAGGCACCCCCTATCCAGGCAAGAGACGACCCAGAGAACCTCACTTAGCCGGGTATTCGGCAGTAACCCCGTCTGTGACAGAACACTTAGTGACAGTAGTAACATTCACACGGAGTGCCACTACCTGTTCTAAGCACTTTACATGTATTAACTCCTGTAATCCTTACAATAATCCACTTGAAGAAACAGAGAGGTTGAGCAACTTGCCCAAGGTCACACAGGTCACTGAGAAATCGTTTTGCCTCCAGACAGACAGCTTCTGGAGCCTGTGCTCTCCTCAGCCACTACAAAATACCACATTTCTGAGGCAGCGACTATTGAGCTTAGAAAGGCTTCCTAAACTATTCGCAAAGTTCAAAGAATACTCTTCAACTGTGTGTGTATATACTGATTGAGGTAGATGGGAGAAATTATCTGTCATAATTTTTCACTTCCACACAAAAAGGTTGAGGATAGATTTCAGGGAATGCTGAACCCCCTGAAATTATGTATACATTTTTTATGTACACTTATGCTTTTTTTTTTCAGGAAAGAGAGTACTATGTACTTTTATACTCTCAAAGGAATCTGAAATGGTTCAGAACCATTAGATGTTGCTTCCTTCCTCAACTCTATTAGCTTAAGTGAAAAGCAGTTGATTTGAGGCAACTATATGATTACTATCAGACTTGTAGAAATGCTGAAAACATCTAGAATCACCATTTCTCTGATTATTAAACATAATTGCTTAAATTATTAAATTATGTAATTCTTTAAATTATTAAGGAAACCACTGTGTACTAGGACTAATGTCAATTCCTACAGATATATAGAGAAAAGTCTTACAGGACTTCTAGATGACCTGGAAATCCAGGCTGGAAGCAATTTTAGGTAAAAGCTAAGGGTTTTTATATGGATATAAAAAGACTATAGAGATCTTAGGAAATTTAGGAAGGCCCACACAAGAAGCTATGGGATGCCTTTACTTTCAAACAAACCTAACCAACAACAGTGGGCAAAAGTTAAAGTTTAAAGAGTTTCCCTACTGCACAAATACTACACTAAAGAAAAACACAAATCAGGATTTTTTTTGTGTAAGAACTAACGTAAATTTAAGATTCTTCCTGAAACTTTATTAGAAGAAATGCAGTCTTATTTAATCCACTGAAATTTACATATACTGACGGCAGCTGAATGTATATAATTTACCTTCTGTAAATATTCTGATTATATTTCATTCTTTGCCATTTCTTGAATAGACATTAGTAAGCAAATTAAAGTCTACCCTTGATAGACAAATACTATTCCCCTATTCTTTTTAGTCATAGGATAATGGAGGTTTCAGAATGAGTCAGGATTGGGTGACATCTTCAAGCAAACATATCCCTTACACTTCAGTTCGGTCTCAGCTAAGTCCTCATGTGCTATACAAAATCAACAGATAGGCACACAGAAAAAATGTAAATGCTTTAAACCATCTTGAGTTCCCGTTTTAAATATTTTCTTCCATAGGAAGGCTAATCAATAATCAAAACTGTTGATTTTGTTTGGTACAAGGTTGTTTCTCTAAGTTTCAAAACCTCTAAAGTGAACTCTTTCGAGTTTCCTATTTCACAACTAGTTTGGAATTTAGCCGATGGGAGATGAAAGAAAAGGAATCAATCACTCTTCTTTTTAAATTTGCATAAACTAAATTCTATGTTCAATATATTGTGAAAATGAGTGCTCCCAACAAAGTCTTCAGCCTGAGTTTTGCAAAGCACTACTTTCAATCTGGCAAGTCTTGCAGCCAGAGCAGGCACACAGAGACCATCTCCAGCAGTGCTGAGTACACACACTGTTCCCTCTCGTGAAGGACAGATAAGGCAAAGGGAAAATAGGATCCTGGCTCGGGCGACAGCTGCAGAACATCCTCCCCTCCCCCAGCAACTGACAAGGCAGGTGTGCGCACACCGCTGGCACACCGTAAAGGGGA